AAATTTACTGCCTCACAATTCTGGAGATTAGAATTCCAAGATCAATGTGTCAGCAAGGTTTCTTCCTTCTGAGATCTCTTTCCTTGGCTAGTAGACAGACATCTTCTGTGTGTGTGTCTGTGTCCTGGTATCCTCTTCATGAGGACACTAGTTCTACTGGATTAGGGCCACCCCAAGGCTTTGTCCTGTGTGTTCATACTCGAGCATATGATAATGGGGGGATACAGTTCAGCCCACAACACCCACTGTGTGTCTCTCTGTCACACAGTGACTGGGTGCCATGGGAATCCCACTTCTCAGACACTGTTTGTGCTGTGTTTGGTTAGTACCTGGAAAAGCTTTTGAGATGGAGACAGGCTAGACAGGGACTGGGACTACCTGTCCTGTGGTTGGAGGGCCTGCGGTGACAATTAGCCCTCTTCAGCCCCAAACCCAAAAAAGCCCCATTTGAGCTATTACAGATTCATGTTTATTAACCTTTAAGAAAATAAAATAAGACATTATCTCCCAATATAGCCCCAGTTAATTGAAGTATGATGGAGAGGGAAGAGATGGGATTAGAGAGGTTTGGTTTCCAGCTCTGCCTCTATAAGGTCTACAATGTTAGCCAAGTCATGATGCATATCTGAAACTCATTCTTACCTTACATGATGGAGAATTTTTATTTTGTCTCACCTGAGGATATGCTTATTGAATTTAGAGAGAGAGGAAGGAAGAGAGAGAGAGAGACAGAAAGACTGACGGAGAGAAGCACCAATGTGAAAAAGATCATCAGTTGGTCACCCTCTCTGTATGTGATCTGACCAGGGATTGAACCTGCAGCCTTTTGGTATACAGGACAATGCTCCAACCAACTGAACCATAACAGCCAGGGCTGTGATGGATACTTTTATGTGTTATTTTGACTGGGCCAGGCATGCCAATATTTGGTCAAAGATTATTCTGGATGTTCTATGAAGGTGTTTCTGGATGAGATTAATATTTGAATCAGTAGACTGAAGAAAGCAGAGTACCCTCCCTAATATGGATGAGACTCATCCAATCAGTTGAAAGCCTGAATAGAACAAAAAGCCTGACCATCCCCTGAGTGAGAGGGAATTCTTCCTGCTTGGCTGCTTTCAAGTGGGAACATCGATTTCTTTCTGTTTTCACACTTAAACTAAAATATCAGCTCTTCCTGCATCTTAAGCCTGCCAGACTTTGAACTAAAATTTACACCATTGGTTCTTCTAAGTTCTCAGGCTTTTGGACTATACCATCAGCTCTCCTGGGTCTCCAGCTTGCTGACTCACTCTGCAGATCTTGGGACTTCTCAGCCTCCATAATCATCATGTGAGCCAATGCCTTAAAATAAATTATATATATATAATAAATCATATATAATAAATTATTATATATAATAAATTATAATTATTACATTATATATAATAAATTATATACACACACACGTGCATACACAGTTGACCCTTTAACAAGAGTTTGAACTGCGTGAGTCGACTTCTATGCAGATTTCCTTCAATTGACCCATGCAACTCCAACTGACCAGTGCAGTTCAAACCCTGGTTGTTTGAAGGTTCAAGGTTCAACACTGCAATTGGGAATTTCAGTATGGGGAGGGTCAACTGTAGTTACATGAAGATTTTGACTGTGTGAGGTCGTCTCTAACCCCTGCCTCTTTCAAGGTCAACTGTACAATTTTTCCTATTGGTTCTGTTTCTCAGGAGAACCCTAACTAACATGCATCCTTATAAGTGGAATAAACATCTAGCCCATCCATTTCCCATGGTTATTGTTATGAATGACAAAGGAACATGTATGAGGAAATTTTGGAAAAGGTGACATGCTATTTCAATGACAGTCATCATCATTAATCATTGTCAGCAGTGACGGCATTGCTCAATCCCCAGGTCAGCTTTCGGTTCTTGTCTCACCGACCAGTAGTCCCACTGACCCAGAAAATTGCTCTCTCTGCAAATTCCCTTACCTCCTGAGGAGCACACTTTCCCGGCTGACCCTTTTCTCCCACCTGTTCTTTCTTAGTCCTTCGGCTGCTTTTTCCTCTTTCCTGGACCTCTAAATGTCACCCTGAGTTCTGCCCTTGGAACTCTTTGTTTCTCTATGGATACTCAGTCCCTTGGAGAGATCAGTGAGTCTTTTAGATTCTAATACTATGGCTCCCCAGGAGCAGACACTGAAAAGGAAACTTGCACAGACTTTATTGGGGCATGCTCTGGGGATCAATCTGGGGGAGTTGATCAAGTAGGATTAGGGCTTGAGACTCACTGGGCAGAAGCTGAACTGAGGATGTTACTGCAACTGTCAAAGATAAGCAAAGACACTAGTTAACATGGTAAGGACAGATTTTTAATCAGAAACATACTATTACAATAGGGAAGGGAGTCCAGCATGAACTCAACTCAGAATTGTACAGAGGTGACTGGACATTTTAAAGGGAGACTGAAGGCATAGAGAGAAGTTGAGTCCGGGACATAAAAAATTACAAAGAGAGCCCTGGCCAGTTTGGCTCAGCGGTTAGAGTGTCGGCCTGCGGTCCGGAGAGACCCGGGTTCGGTTCCCGCTAAGGGCATGTACTTCGGTTGCAGTTTGTCCCCGGCCCTGGTTGGTCGTGCGGGTGGCAGCCACTCGATGTGTCCCTTCACATCGATGTTTCTCTCTCTCTCTCCCTTCCTCTCTCTCCCTCCCATTCTATCTGTATAAAAAATGGAAAAATACCCTCGGGTGAGGATTAAAAAAAAAAAAAAATTACAAAGAGAGGAGGGGAATTAGGGGTATGGGGGTAGGAGGGAGGACTGGTCCATGTGAAACCCACATGCATTTGCTCCCTGGTGCTTATTGAAGTGAGGCTCCTCCCCTCCCATTAAGGCTGGGTGGGAGGATGACCCTACCCTCTGGTGCTGGCTGGGACAAATGGTCATTTCTGTTGGCAGCCTTGAGTTTTTGAGGCAGGCATTTTGAGGGGGGCTAGGGTCAGCCTGGGGATATGGCTTTGAGCTATTAGAAACTATTTTAGTGTTTGTTCAAGTCTTATAGGCCAAGGTTGAGGCCTAATTGAGAAGAGAGTTCAGAGGAACCTGGCCTAGAGTTTGGTCAAGGAGAGATTCTTTGTCACAAAAAAATGAGTAGCTCCCACTGAGACCTCTAGAGCTCGGGTGACCCTGTGGAGCCACTGCACTTGGACGGAGGGCAGGGCATGGGCTCTGCTAAGATCAGCCACTGGATGTGCTGCCCAGGAAGGAGGTGTGACCTCAGGGAAGACCCTCAGCTGTCACCCTCCCAACAATGAGGAAAATGAGCGCCTCTGTTCTCAGAGGGCGTTAGGTTGAGAAAGGTTATGACTCTGAAGCATGGGAAATCATCGCTTGCCATTAAATGGGACGATTTGAACATCGCCCTGGCTCCAAAGCAGTTGCAGCTCTAGAAACTTCAAAAGTAAACTCATTTTATTGTAAATATTACAGATTTGGGAGGGTGACCAAAGCATAGATGACAAACCTAGTAGTACTGCTTTCATAACTCAGCCGGTTCTCTCTCCCTGTCATGTCAGGTTCCAATTCTATCAGTGGGCCCCATACTTACTGACTTAAAATTCACAGTCTTCACTTTGTTTTATTTAAAATACCCGGGCCTTCAGCACATCCTCTCTGAACCTCCAGCAGGGACCCGCAGAGGCAATTAGAGTGTTCAGGTGTGTTAATGACTGTACTCGGTCCCCCTTTCTAAAGTTGTGGGTCTTAGTAAAGGCCACCAGGATTTTTATTACGGCAGTACGATTCAGCCCTCTGGACCGAGCTGCGGGACGCAAGCTCCCTTGGCTAATCTTCATTTATCTTACGGGATCTTATCTGTAATCCAGAAATTATGACACCAACATTGATTCTGACTAGCCACTCAATGCTGAAAGGGATTTTTTTCAGCTTTCATCTTACAGGAAAGAACGTGGAACTCAGTGTGAACAATTTCTTTTATGATTATTCTAATCCTAGAAGGAAAGCCGAAAAGCCATTTCTCGTGTCAAGAATCAAAATTTGAAGCTCAGTTCTCCCAGTTGAACTATTCCCCAGCATGATGGGAAGCTGCCTTTGCTCAGATCCAGGGGAATTAGGCCAGATACTGGGCCCACCTGCTCTCTGGTAGTTCACTGGGGACCCCCCTCTGTAGCCCTGGGGAAGCAAGGCTGCCAGTGAGGGCGGGGGGCCCAGCTCTGCTTCCGGTCTGGGAGAGTCAGGCTGTGTCTTTACCACCTCCATCATCGTTTGTCTTTCCAGATCAAATCAATTGAAAAATGATATTTAAGGAGAGCCTTGAAGGGGTTATTGATGTATTCCAAAGAGCTTCTGCTCCTTACATTAGTGTAGGATAGCCCAAAATGTATGCCCACCATCACTGTCCCCAGAAACTGCCCAGCCTTCCTGAGACCCAAGAAAGGACCCTTTAAAATCTATGTAATCACTACTCATATCATATTTCTTCAGAGCCCAGAGGACAAAACTTTATTTCAAGATGTGTGATACTGAGAAGTTATAATTTTTAAATTAGAATAAAAGATCAAAGTTAGATTAAAAGAAAGTTGATGCCATTTAAGTTTGAAAATGAATTTAGGGAAAATACTCTTTGACTTAGGTCAGGACAACAGGTTGAATTGCAAATTGTACCCTCTCACTTCATCATTAACCTAACTTCACAGGCCATTGGAGCATAATGAGAATCTTACCAGGAGCCTAAAACTGGGAAATGAATGCTATTTATTTTTTTCTTAGAGGCATATAGATTCCAGCGCTTGGCAACCTGGGTGAGAATCCTGACTCTGTTGTGGAACTTTGGGCAAGTTAATATACCTCTCTGTGTTTCTGGCTTCTAGCTCAGAAGCTGGTCTCAATATGCAGTGAGTTAATGGATGCTGAGTATGTAGGGACTGGCATAGAGTAAAGAGCCCACAAACTTAACTGTTATTATTATTTCCCTCTTATGTGAGTGGCAAGCTGTCCCAGGATCAGAGAGTTGGTGAAGATATCAGCACCTAATCCAGGTAATAGTTGAATAAGGCCATGCTCTTGAGAAGGTGTGATGTTAATTATGCTTTCTTATTTTTCAATGTGAGATTTTTATAAGTATTGTAAAAAGAGGGGGGGCACCCTGGCCGGTTTGGCTCAGTGGTTGGAGCCTCGGCCTGCAGACCAGAGAGTCCTGGGTTCGGTTCCTGCTAGGGGCACATACAAAAATTTTTTTAAAGGGGGTTCTCCTGAGCTCTAGCCATCACCGCGGGGGTGTCATGTCATATCAGTGGGGTTTCAGAAGGAGGTTGTGTTGGAGACTTCCCTTTGAAGTGCACCTGGGGAACCAGGGCCTGGAAGTGGCTCCTGCAGGTTATTGGCAGTGGCAGGTGAGCTTGTCCCCACACAGCCTGGACAGCCAGGAGCTGGACTGGAAGGTCTTCTAGCCTCAAGTCTTGGTCTTCACTCCTCTTTAGCCCTTGTTTCAAAGGCAGCAGCTTGAAAAGCTGTCCTCATTCTTACTACAGGGTGTGTACACGTCTTCTCTAGCCTCTCTGAGGAAATACATTGTTTTATGTATTTTTCTGTAGACCATCTCTTAATGGCTGAGTCTTGGGGTTGGAATGGTATCTAGGGGTGCATATAGGCTGATACCCAGGAGAGTGGCCTGGTGTGTAATAGAAGCTCAATAACTGTGTTAAACGAATAAAGTGTACAAAGTTCTGAGAGAATGAAGAAATGAATCAATGAGGCATTCAGAAGTGGAATCACCCCAATCCCTGTTCTGAAATGGCCACTGGGAGACATGGTCCTCCAGAAGGTTCTGTGAGGCTCCCAACAAGAGTGGAAAATCCCACATTGCAGGTGGGCTGAGGGGTCCACCCCATGATGACTCCTAGGATATAGTAAGGCTGGCTTTAGGAGCCTTACGGTCACGACCAACACCCAGACAGATACAGATGGTAGAGTTTGTTTCTGCTCTCCTGCCGAGTGGTAGGTAACAAAGCCCACAGTGAGCAGGGGGGTGAGGGGACGCGGCCAGCCTTGCTCGCGTGTGCTATATCCGGAAGAATCTCAGATCCTCTGCTCGGAGAGACTGAGGCTTCTCCGCTATTTTGGATTGACTTGCGTTCCCTGGTGTCAAGGACGGCTCTCCGGAAGCCATGCTAACTGAAGTCGAACAGGCCCCCAGACTGGAACCCAGGGCAGGAACTACTGTCAGCCAGGAAGCACACTTCCCTGGGCTCTCACAGCCTAGAAGGAGCCACTGATCTTTGCTACTTCAGGCCACAACTTTCAGGAGTAAAGTGTGCAAATTAGGGACAAAGGTTTCTGGTGTGCACTTGTAGGGCAGGAGAAGGTGTTACTTTGCTCTGGAAGGGAAGTCACATGGTTTGAGAATGCTTTAGATCAAAAGGAGGCAGAAGTGTGCCTGAGCCTCACTCGCATTCCTGTTCATGGTTTTTCCCACAGAAGCAAATCAGATCCTACCTGATAAGGCTTATTTCCTTCCCTCCTTAATGTGGCCCAGTGGTAGAGTCAGTGAAGTGTGAGAACTTTGGAGACCTGCATGGAATCCCTGCTCTGCTACATTATAGCTGTGTGATGGTAGGAATGTTGCTCAACTTCTCTGAACTTCTTGTCTATCTGAAGAATGAGTGTAGTAACCTGTACACACTCTTCAGGGAGGTATAAAAATTAATTGAGATATACCCCAATAAAGCTGTTACAAATAAATAAATAAATTCCACCTTCAAAAAATTGAGATACATTGTGTGAAAGCACTTTCTTAGCATAAGTAAACATTTTCTTGCTTCCTTGCCCTTTCCCGTGCTCCCTGCCCTACCCAACTCCTCCCCTGGAGGGCCCATGAGGTTTCCACAGTCCTTCAGGAGCCTATCGTGGGGAGGGTGAAGCATGCTCACCTCTGCTCTGTGTGATCCTGGTGGGACCCCAAAGTCCCCATCGACCAGTGACCAGGCTCAGAGTTGAAATGAAGAATTGTAACATCAAACCCCACAATGGGACCCATTACTACTGGGAAGGGCATGGGGGAGGCTGGGTGGCCTGCTTGTGTATTGTTTTCATTTACCCCAAATATCTTTTAAATTAGATTTCTCCCTGAGTGAACAATTTGCCAGGGGCCAACAAATGGGTAGAGTATAGGCACAATACTACTGCCCTCCTGCTTTCTGTAGCCATAACCTGTGGATAAAGGAGGATTGCTAGATCTTAGGAAATGTCCTGTGAAAAGAAAGGAAAAGGAAAGTTTCTTGTGCAAAATTTCTTTAAAGGAAAGGAACACAAAAGTTTAGTTTTTCTTTTTTTTGTGTCAAACTGATTGGGAGAAAAACTAGAAACTGAATATTGGTTGGCAATCAAGGGCAGATCAAAGGGCAAGGTCCAAGGGCTTGGGGAAATTTGAAATGAAGGGACTTGATGAAAGAGAGAAATCTGCCTTCCAACTATTTGTCAGGTGTTTCTTTTTGCACCTCTCCAGATCTGTAAAAGTATTTAAAAGTACAAGATATATACACTAGGAGGTGAAAATATCCCTTTGTCCTTCACATGCCTGAAACTAGCCCTGTTTCCAGAAGTCGAGGCTTAGGCATTTATCAGACGTTTAACTCACACTACGACTCAGAGTGCAGAGATAGGTTTCTGGCTTAATCTGCATCTAATTTGGTTTTTCTCTGAGCCCTATACACTGGTTATCAGGGGAACATTTTAAATTATGCTATATATTAAAATTAAAATATGTAAATTAATGTCCATTGTATTTCCAATTTTGACTTGAAAATGTAAACAATTTCTTCAGATAATTCTCACTTTTTTAAGGCAAATATGCCCAGACTTTAGGATTGCCTTTTTCTGCCCCCTTCCTGCCCCTTTCTTTGTCTCATGGGTGGTAAAGTGGGGGCTGTCAACGACCTTTGCCAGAGAAGAAGGAAGACCTGGTACTCCCAGGCTGTTATTAGGTGGGGGATGTTCCAGGCCATCACTGTTGCTTCCCTCTGGCACTTGTCCCCACCTGGAGGGAACCCTGCCTGTTACTACCATCTGTAGACTCATGAACCTCTCTCTGCCTCGTCTCCCATCCAGGCCCTTCACCTGCTCACCTGGCTTCTGCTGCAAGGTCACTGCTCACCAGCATGACAAGCCACGGCTAGCCCATGGATGTCTGTCTGGTGTCCACGCTCCACGGACACTGAGGCCAGCCCAGGGCCACCTCTGTCTTGCCCGGCTGGTCCACCAGGTTGATGTGGCCACACCTGAGGTTGGTGGGGGCCGCTAGTCAGTTGAGTGCCTTTCAGAGTCCAAGACAGGCAGCAGGAGCAAAAGCCCACAATACTTGATATCCTGCCTTTATCCACTGCCCTTCCTCTCTGAGCTAAAACCTAGGTGGGAAGAGATAACAATAAGACCTGCACTCTTTTCTTTTTATCTTTTTGCAACATAACCAAATTACCTCCAGGCAGATGAATGCTAATGGATTATGTACTTAGGAAAAAGTGTAAAATATATTAATAATATTTGAGGTGTGTGAGGATGTGTATGGAAATAAATAACTCTTTTTTGAAAAACAAAATCACTCTGGACATTCTGTCAATTTGCTGGTAGCTTTATTCATTACATAAAAGCCTTTGCATCTGCCTGTATCGGCTCTTCAGGAACTGTGGCTTTTCAATGGCATCATGCTAATGCACTGCATGCTAATACAATGCAATGTATTCGACCTCGTTTCTTTGACCTTGGAAGTTTCCAGTTTTTCTTCATTTGTTATCAGGAGTAACGAGGATGAGGACTCCTGCACATTCATTTGTCAGAGTGTTTGTTTCTTATTTACTCTCTAACCCCTCCTGATAGAAGAAGTGTAAGTGGTTATCTACCTTAGTCACATGTGCCTGGGACAGGAGAGAACAAACAGATGAACGCAAATGGACGAGCAAACATACTAATAAATGGATTCATCATAAATGGATAAAATGAAGGTATCTTTTTGTCCTTGGGTGAGTTTTCTGCAGAATCAATTTCTAGGAGTGAAACTATAGTGACCAGGTTGTGCATACTTACTCTTTACTCCATAACCAAACTGTGCTCCAAGTACATTGTGTGAATTTGTCTGTCCTTCAGCAGATCCTGGACACATGAGATGTCCTCTGAAGGCAGAGCCTGCCAGGCTTTTGTGCGGGAAGGTGACTTTGGAAAGCAATGCCAAGGAATGGGAGTGGCAGAGAGGGAAGGGTCAACAGTGCAGGGGTAAGTTCTTGAGCTGGGCACTGCTGGGGACCCTCTGAGGAACTTTGTAGAACATGTTCAGAATTGTTCTCAGAGAAATGGAGCAGAGAGTGTGTGTCCCAAACTCCCATCAAGCGTTGCCCTGGATGTGTTACCTTCTGAACTTGACTGTGTAGCTTATGTGCCAGAATGGCCCAGCTAGCTGGGGAAAGGGGTGGAGCGGAGGGCTGAAGAGCAGCAGGGAAAGCAAGAGACAGAGTGCTGAGGAGAGGTCATCACTGCACCTCCCACAGCTGGCTGCTGCAGCAACAGCTGTATACAAAAGCAGGTTGGATGTATGTGAGCCAGGAAGGGTGTGTGACACACTCCTTTTACTCGACCTTCCCAACAGCCAAAATTCCCACACTGTTGACTTCTTGCCAGACTAATAAGTGAGAGGATAACTCTTGCTATTTAAAAAATTTTCAAGGGATGGCAGCGGGCAGGACTGGAGGGAGGGTAGTGTGTGAGAGAGTGAGCTAGTGTGTGAGAGAGTGTGAGTGGACGTGAAGGTAGACCACCAAACCTGAGCAGTGCAGAGCCATGGAGTAGAAGGTTCCTGTGCTGTGGACAGGAGCAGCTGGCTACCACAATAACTGGCTCTTCAGGGCTCTTCTCCCTGCCCACGGGGAGGTCCTACCATTTCAGAAGATCCCAGGTCTTCCCTGGGAAGAGGCAGTGGGAGTGGCTAGGGCCCAGCAACCTGAGCCCACCAGTGTACCTGGCACAATTGGTCCAGTAGACACTGTGTCAACAAAGACCAGTGCACAGTAGTGGAGCTCCTAAGGTGCTGGTAATAAAAGTCGCTGACAGCCTGGAGCCCAGCACCATCCTCCCCCTCAGCAGCAGCCCCATCAGAGTGGAGATATACTCCTAGCAACAGAGGCTTGGGACCAGACATCCATCCCCAGGCAACAGAAGCACAGACCAGCAGCTGAGACCCATCCCCAAAAACTACAGCAAAAGCTGAGCAGTACTTGAGTCCCATGGGGCAGCAGCACTCCCCAGCCACCAGCAGTGGGATCTGGAGCTCCACAGAGTCCTGTGCGATCCAGAAGCTCACAAGAGCAGTGGGAAGCCAGAGCCCAAGAGGGACTGATGCGATCCAGCTGCCCATGGGTCCTGTGGGGTGCTGGGGCCCCAGAGAAGCCTGTGTGACCCAGAAGCCCTCAACAGCAGTGGGAAGCCGGAGTCCAAGAATGACTGGTGAGATCCAGCTACCTGCCCATGGAACCTGTAGGGTGCAGGGGCACCAGCGAGACTTGTGCAACCCAGCGGGGACTGTGCAATCCAGTTACCTGTAGGACCTGCAGGGTGCTGAAGCACCACAGAGTCCTGTGTGACCCAGCAGCCCATAAGATAGGCATAGAGCCAGGTCCCCCAAAAAACTGTGTGATTCAGTTACCCAAAGGACCTGCAGGGTACGAGGGAACCAGAGAGGCCTGTGAGACCCAGCTGCGCACAAGATAGGCATAGAGGATGTGAAAATGGAGGTGGAGTGAAAAGAAGCTATGCGGACGATCTCCCAGGACCAAACGGGAATTACAACTAAAATAAAGACAAATCCTCAGAAAAAAGCAACAGTAAAGCAGCAGGACTGGACCATATAACCAGGGACACTGGCAGGATCTGTGGAGGCGTGAGAGGGTGGCGGGCTGGGAGCCCAAGGACAGCAGCAGTCTGAGCTGTGAGCAGCACCCTCGGGGAATAAAGACCAAGCCCGCCCCACAGCACAGAGAGCCCAAACAGAGTGATAAAATAGCCACAGCCACTAACCTGGGGGCTACAGCAGAGGTAGGGCAGACTGGGCTGGAACTCTGTGGGGACACGCGGGATTTAGAGGGCACTCAGAGTTTTTGCTGAGTTGCGGCCACAAAAGACAGTGACCAGTGTGAGCTATGGGGAAAAGCAGCAGCTCCCTTCTCAGAGATTCAGCCTTTCCCAGGTGAGGCAAATAAATGAAAATTGAGGCTCATTAAAAACCAGCATCTATCCCACCTTCTGGAAATCCTCTTATGCAGAACACCAGGGCTACATTCCAAGGCACTGAGTAACTGAGACTACTAGCCACCAGGAAAAAGCTAGAGGATACCTGTACCTGTCCTGGCTTGCAAATCTAACCATGAAAGTAAGACTTAACAGTGATGTTTAACGTGGGCCCACTCAGGCTCATCCGAACCCAGCAGAGAGAGCCACAAACAGCAGAACAAAGAAACCCACAGGGAAAACTTGGCAGGCTACAAAACCCACTGACATAGCCAAAATGGTGAAACAAAAAAAACAAATCCCAAATAAAAGAACAAGAGAACTCTATTGAAGATGAGATCAATGAAATGTAGCTAAGCAAATTATCAGAGGTAGAGTTCAGAGCCATGACCTTGAGGAAGCTCAATAGCAAGAGTAAGGACATGAGCACCATGAGTAACGATATAGAAACATTGAAAACCAACCAAGTGGAAATGAAGAATGACATATCATAAATAAAGAACACATTGAAAGGACTAACCAGCACAATAGAGGAAGCTGAGGACCGGATCAGTGAATTTGAAGACAGGGTAGAAAAAAAATCAACCAATCAGAAAATTAAAAGAAAAAGCAATTAAAAACAGGAAGATAACTTAAGGGAACTGTGGAACAACTGGAAACATAATAACATTTGCATCATAGGAGTCGCCAAAGAGGAAGAAAATAGGCAAGGGTTAGAAAATATTTTTGAAGAAATAGTGACAAAAAACTTTCCTAACTTGGTGAAGGAAGAAGGCATTTAAGTTCAAGAAGCACAGAGAGCCCCAAGTAAGAAGAACCCAAACAGGCCCACACCAAGCACATAGTCATTAGAATGCCAAAAATTAAAGACAAAGAGAGAATCCTAAAGGCAGCAAGAGATAAGCAACAGGTGACCTACAAAGGAAACCCCATAAGGCTCTCAGCTGACTTCTCACAAGAAACACTACAGGCCAGAAGGGAGCGGCATGAAGTAATCAAGGTCATGAAAAACAAGGATCTGAATCCAAGACTACTCTATCTAGCAAGGCTATCATTCAGAACAGAAGGTCAAATAAAGAGCTTTCCAGACCAAAAAAAAAAAAAAAAAAAAGGCTAAGGAAATATATTAACACTGCAAGAAATGTTAAAAGGACTGCTGTAATTAGTAGAAGAAATAGGAAGAAAAATATAACCACAATAAACAAAAATGGCAATAAATAAGTACATATCAATTATCACCTTAAATGTGAATGCTTTGAATTCTCCTATTAAAAGACACAGAGTAGCTGACTGAATAAGAAAGCATGACTCACATATATGTTATTTACAAGAGACTCACCTCACAACAAAAGACTCACATGGGTTGAAAGTGAAGGGATGAAAAAAAAAATCTTTCAAGAAAACAGAAAGGAAAAAAAAGCTGGGGTAGCAACACTCACATCTGATAAAGTAGAGTTCAAAATGAAGGCCATAACTAGAGACCAAGAAGGCCACTACATAATATTGAAAGGATTTATTCAACAGGAAGATATAACCTTGATAAACATATATGCACCCAATATAGGAGAACCAACATATATTAAAAATCTTTTGGAGGACTTCATAGGAGAAATCAACAGCAATACAATCATAGCAGGGGACTTCAATACCCTGCTGACATCACTGGATAGATCTTCTAAAAAAAAAATTCGCCCTGGCCGGTTTGGCTCAGCGGTTGGAGCGTCGGCCTGCGGTACAGAGAGAACCGGGTTCGGTTCCCGCTAAGGGCGCATGCCTCGGTTGCAGTTTGTCCCTGGCCCTGGCTGGTCGTGTGGGTGGCAGCCACTCGATGTGTCCCTTCACATCGATGTTTCTCTCTCTCTCTCTCTTCCTCACTCTCCTTCCTGCTCTATCTGAACAAAAAATGAAAAAATGTCCTCGGGTGAGGGTAAAAAAAATAAAAAAATAAAAAAAATAAAAAAAAATTAACAAGGAAACACAGACCCTAAATGAAGCCCTAGATCAAATGGATTTAATAGATATCTACAGAGAATTACATCACAAAACTTCAGAATTTACATTCTTCTCAAGTGCACATGAGACATTCTCAAAGACAGATCACATGCTAGGGCACAAACTAAGTTTCTACAAGTTGAAAAAGATTGAAATCATATCAAGCATTTTCTCAGATCACAATGGAATGAAACTAGAAATCAACAGCAACAGGAACATGCAAAGACATTTGAAAACATGGAGGCTAAATAGCATGTTATTGAACAATGAATGGGTTACTACGGAGATCAAGGAAGAAATTAAAAACTTCCTGGAAACCAATGAAAATGAACACACAACAACACGAAATCTATGGGATGCAATGAAAGCAGTTCTGAGAGGGAAGTTCATAGCACTACAGGCCTATCTCAAGAAGCAAGAAAAATTTCTAATAGACTATCTAACCTCACAACTTAAAAAAACTAGAAAGCAAACAAAAAGAAAACCCCAAAGCAAATAAAAGGAAGGAAGTAGTAAAGATCAGAGCAGAAATAAATGACATGGAGACCAAAAACACAATTCAAAGGATCAATGAAACAAAGAGCTGGTTCTTTGAAAAGATGAACAAGATTGATGGACTCTTAGCTACACTCACCAAGAAATAAAGAGATAAAACCCAAATACACAAAATCAGAAATGAAAGAGGAGAAATAATAACTGACACCACAGAAATACAAAGAATCATTAACAAATATTATTAACAATTATACGGCAACAAATTTGACACTCTAAGTGCAAGGGACAAATTTCTAGAAACACATACTCTCCCAAAACTGAACAGGGAAGAGATAAAAAACTTGAACAGACCAATAACAACTAAGGAAATTGAAGAGGTATTCAAGATTCTCCCAGCAAACAAAAGCCCAGGCATAGACGGCTTCACGGGGGAATTCAAAGAAGAACTAATACCCATTTTCCTCAAAGTATTTTTTTTTTTTATCCTCACCTGAGGATATTTTTCCATTTTTTGTACAGATAGAGTGGGAGGGAGAGAGAGAGAGAAACATCGACGTGAAGGGACACATCGAGTGGCTGCCGCCCGCATGACCAACCAGGGCCGGGGACAAACTGCAACCGAAGTACGTGCCCTTAGGGGGAACCGATCTCGGCTCTCTCTGGAAGGCAGGCCGACGCTCTAACCGCTGAGCCAAACTGGCCAGGGCCTCAAAGTATTTTGAAAAATTCAAGAAGAAGGAAGACTTCCAAACTCATTTTATGAGGCCAGCATAACTCTAATTCCAAAACCAGAAAAAGACACTACAAAGAAGGAAAACTACAGGCCAATATCCCTGATGAACATAGATGCCAAAATCCTGAACAAAATACTAGCAAATTGGATCCAGTGATACATGAAAAAAATTATTCACCATGACCAGGTGGGATTCATCCCAGAGATGCAAGGCTGGTACAATATTCACAAATCAATAAATGTGATACACCACATAAACAAAATGAAAGATAAAAATTATATGATCATATCAATAGACGTTGAAAAAGCATTTGACAAAATCCAACACCCATTTCTGATAAAAACGCTCAGCAATGTGGGAATAGAGGGATCATATTTTGACATAGAAAAGGCCATATATGAAAGACCTACAGCCAACATCATACTCAATGGGCAAAAACTAAAAGCATTTCCCTTAAGAACAGGAAAAAGACAAGGATGTTCACTTTCACAACTCTTATTTAGCATAGTACTGGAAGTCTTAGCCACAGCAATCAGACAGAAAGTACAAGTAAAAATAAAAGAGATCCAAATTGGAAGGAGGAAGTGAAACTGTCATTTTTCACAGATGACATGATATTATACGTAGAAAACCTGAAAGACTCCATCAAAAATCTACTTGACTTAATAAATGAATTTGGCAAAGTAGCAGGACACAAAATAAACATCAAGAAATTGATGGCATTCTTATACACCAATGTTGAACTCACAGAAAGAGAAACTAAAAAAACAATTACATTTACAATCACAGCAAACAATTAAGATACCTAGGAATAAACTTAACCAAAGAAATAAAGGACCCATTCACAGAAAACTATATAAGTCATTGAACAAAGAAACAGAGGAAGATATAAAAAAGTGGAAGCACATACCTTGTTCATGGATTGGAAGAATCAACATCATTAAAATGTCCATATTACCCAAAGCAATCTATAAATTCAATGCAATCCCCATCAAAATACCAATGACATACTTCACAGAATTAGAACAAATACTTCAAAAGTTCATATGGAACCAAAGAGACCTCGAATAGACACAGCAATCATGAAAAAAAAAAAAAGAACAAAGTTGGAGGGATCACATTACCAGATTTCAGGTTATACTACAAAGCCACTGTAATCAAAACAACCTGGTACTGGCACAAGAACAGGCATATAGACCAGTGGAACAGAACAGAGAACCCAGAAATGGACCCAAGGCAATATCCTCGATTAATATTTGACAAAGTTGGCAAGAGCTTACAGTGGAGTACAGACATCCTCTTTAATAAATGGTGTTGGGAAAATTGGACAGCTACATGCAAAAAAATGAAACTAGACCATCAACTTACACCCTACACAAGAATAAACTCAAAATGAATAAAAGACTTAAATGTGACACACGAATCCATAAAAATCCTAGAAGAAAATGTAGGCAACAAAATTTCAGACATCATACGCAGCAGAATTTTTACTGATACATCACCTAAGGCAACAGAAACAAAGGAGAAAATGAACACATGGGACTACATCAAACTCAAAAGCTTCTGCACAGCAAAAGCTACAGTCATCAAAATGGAAAGGCAATCCACTGTATGGGAGAGCATAATTGCCAATGATATCAGATAAAGGGTTAATTTCCAATTTATATAGAGTGGCCATACAACTTAACAAAAAACAAAGAAGCCAATTAAAAATGGGCAGAGGAATAGACACCTCTTCAAACAGGACATACAAATGGGTAAGAAACATATGAAGAAATGCTCAACATCACTAATCATCAGAGAGATGCAAATTAAAACAACAATGAGATCACCTCCCACCTGTCAGAATGGCTGCCATCACCAAATCATCAAACAACATGTGTTGGCGAGGGTGTGAAGAAAAGGGGACTCTTGTATACTGCTGGTGGGAATGCAGACTGGTGCAACCACTATGGAAAACTCTAACGTGTTACTTCAAGAAATTAAAAATTGAATTGCATTTGACCCAGTGATCCCACTTCTAGTAATATACCCTAAGATGCCTGAAACACCAATCAGAAAGAATATATGTACTCCCATATTCATAGCAGCACTATTTATAATAGCTAAGATCTGGAACAGTCCAAGTGTCCATCAGTAGACAAATGGATAAAAAAGCTGTGGTACATATACACAATGGAGTACTATGTAGCTGTAAGAAAGATCCTTTATCCTTTGAGAGAACATGGACGGACCTGGAAAGTATTATCCTAAGCTAAAGAAGCCAAACAGAGAAAGACAAGTATCATATGATCTCACTTATTTGTGGAATATAATGAACATAACAGTCTGTGGAATGGGGTGGTCCCAGAGACATGGAAGTGGGGCACAGACTGACAATCCCCAGAGGAGGGGATGGTGGTGGAGAGATAAACCACAGAACTTATATGCATGTATGCATGAACAATGGACATGGACAACACAGCTGTGGACAGGGCGAGGAGGGAGGGGAAGGGGGAATCAGTGGGGGAAAAAGGAGAAACATCTCTAACAAAAATACATAAATTAATTAAAAAATAATAATTTGCATGCCTTTGACTTTTGGCAAGGCTCAAGATCTTTTCACAAGTTTATTGGCCAGTTGTATTTATTCTGTAAATTTCATTTATGTGTAATTAATTTTAATGACTGTTTTGTTCTTGTGAAGAATTAAGACATTATTTTGACCACCCTCCCTGTCCTGAGAAGTAACTCCTGTTCTTATTTGGTGTGCATTCTTTTTTATTTTAAGCTATACACTGGCTTATACATGTGTTCCCATAAAATTACATAGTTTTTTGGATTGATATATATAAATGTATACACAGAGAGGCATGCATAGCTACAAATACACATATATGTATGTGGTATGTATATATGTAAATGAACATTATGGTCTGCATTATTCTGAAGATTGTTGATTCACTCAAAAATATGTCTTGATTATCATTTACATCAGTGTGTATATGGTTGCTTTATTCTCTTACCCCACAATATGGTGTTTTATAATATAGACACAGCACTCCATTCCCTGTAGGTAAATATGCTGGGTTGTTTACGAAAGTTCAGCATTAAGAACCATGCTTGGATGGACATACCTCCTTTTGCACATGTGTAGGCTTTCTGTGGGGTAGTTACCCCCAAGGGGATTCACTAGCTTGAATGTATATACCTTGTAACATTTTAAATAATTACCAGCACAGCACTTGCCCATTGCTCTGGCACAGATAATAGCACCTGACCACTGACAGCCTGAGTGGGATTCATGGGCCTGAGGATGCAGCAGGTTGAATTCGTCTGTGCCCTGAGGCGGATGCTGCTGGGACCCTGCGGTGCAGAGGTTACTGATGAGTCCAAGTATAGACCCAGGAAGAATGTCAAACCAGCCTGTACCCAACGTGGGGTGAGGAGGCGGGTGAGGTGGGGTCCTCAGAGGTATGGGCTGTGGGTTGGCAGAGGGAAAATGGCTTCCCACATGAGTGGCTTGGCTCAGTGGGTTTAACAACAAGCAGTAACAATTGTAGCTGAAGACTTGACCCTAGGAAATGTCTGGTTCTCAATTTGATGGGGCCTTGAGAATGGTGGGTCCAGTTATAGGTAGTGGCAGGAGGAAATGGAAGTACAGGCCCTGAGTCTTGCCAACATTCCTACAGCCCAGGGCAGAGCCTGGGAAGTGGGATTTGGCTCATTTCTCTCCGGTATCAGTACTGGTCCACCCAGGTAACCTGCTGTCCCCACCTGGCACAAGCGTGAAAGGTTCAGGAGAATCAAGACCTGTCCTTGCTGGAGGGGTTCTCTGGACCAGTCAGCCTAGTCCCTGGCCTAGGCCAGATGTGCCTTCAGGGAGTCTTTAAAAAATTTTATTACAAATTGTTCTTGTACCAACTCACCACCCACCAAGAGTGAAAGGCCTGCTTTCCATACTTTCAGATGTGTAATGTTGTCTACCGATAAGATGAATGAAAAGGGGTATTTCTCTTCTGGGATAATTTGTCTTTTCCTGCTTACTGGTGAAATGTCTTTTCATATGCTTATTGACCACTTCTATTTTTGTGGATTTTCTGTTCTTATCACTTGTTCATTAAAACAATTATTTTGTCTTCATACTTTTTTGATAAATTATTTTGTCTTTTATTTGTAAATTTTCTTTATAAATATTTTTATGGTTTGTCAGATATTATTTAACTTCATTTATAATGTCTTTAATATTTAAGTATGTATATAATTTTATAAGTGACTTTAATCTTTTTCAAATAACTTGTGGGTTTTAAGCCATGCTTAGAATTTTCCAACCCATAGTTACAGAAAGAGCTTCTTGTATTTTAAATAATTGTGTTTATTGTTTTGTAATTTTTAAGTCTGTGACTGTCTGGGAGTTATTTTCCTCATGGTAGCAAGTTTGGAGTTGGGTGTGGATCTGACAATTATTCTTCCCACCTTCTCCATCACCCCAACATCACTTATGAAGCATCTACCTTTCCCTCACATGTTGAAATGCCAAATCTGCAACATGGCTGAATTCCAAGAGACTGTTGTGGATTAAGTTTGCATTTCCACTTATTCTCCCCCCTGTCCTCCAAAGAGTAAGAGTCATGTTTTATGACTGGACAGAGTCAGAAATCTGAAACACTGCTAGAGTGAGGTTTCACTTCAGGCGACATTATGCATAGTCATCCCTTCGTTCCATTGCTGGGATCAGTCTACCTGGTAGACTCACTGCCTCGCCTGGGCTTCCTGTCTCCTATGGGCAGCAGCCTGGCTGAAACAGTCCCTTCTCTCATCTCCTCATCAACCTGTCTCCACTCTGACCATGTAGGTCAGGATGCCTGTGGCTGGGTCAGCAGCTCGCAGGTAATCCTAAGGGGTCCAGTTCTGCGAGTCACTGAGGTGGACCCTAGCTGTGTGGACTCATCTAGGAGAGTCTACGGATAGCACAGGACTAGCAGAGGGGCACTCCACACTTGCTCAGGTATTGATGGTGATTTTTGTTGCCTCTTTGCTGTAAACCTTTTTTGGGAGGAATCTCCAAGTAGGAGGGGTAGGAACTCACACTCCATGTAGTGAAAACACACACACACACACACACACACACACACACACACACGTTTATTCCTTTTTCTGGTGATCTTTTTGTGCACTTCTCTTTCAGCACCAAACTTGATACCATGCTACCCTGCGGAGTGACAGCTTAGGTCAAGGTTAAGCTCTAAAGTGGCCCATAAAACTGAAATTTTATGTAGATAAATTGCTGTTGAAAATCCTTTAAATCAACCATGAAGGGCAGGGTACAGAGCACTGGGCTCAGTGAGCTCAGATAAGGTGACACTTACTCCATCATTGGATCTAATCTCTGCGTTCCCACTTGGGCACTGCCAGGTAGAGATGATTTTCTTTAGGGGCAGTGTTGTATGAAATACATGTGTCTCTAACACTAGACCTACACTTGGTTCAGTGGGAGGTTCACACCATGGGAGACCAGGTCACTGAGACTTTCAGGAGCATAGCACTCTGTCTCCTGCCCACATCACTCTGCCACGGCAGCAGCCTTGCTGGAACTGTCTGTATTACTGTACCAGGCTGCCTTAACCAAGTCCCATAGACCAGGCTGGCTTAACCAATGCATATTTATTTCCTCACACAGTTCTGGAGGCTGTAAGTCCAAGTCAAGAGGCCAATAAGGTTAATTTATTCTGTGGCCTCTCTCCTTGATTGCAAATGCCTCCTTGTTGTTGTGTCCTCACATGGTTTTTCCTATGGAGGTGTGTGTGTGTGTGTGTGTGTGTGTGTGTGTGTGTAAATAAATCTCTTCTCATAAGGACAGCAGTCAGATTGGATTAAGGCCCACCCTAATGCTCTCATTTTACTTTATTTTTATCTTTATTGTTGAATGTATTACAGATGTTCCTCATTTCCACCCCCCACTCCTGTCCCCCTCCTGCCTTTCCCCACACTGTTGTCTGTGTCCATTGGTTATGCATATATGCATTTAAGTTCTTTGGTTTATTTCTTCCCACCCTCCAACCTCCTTCCCTTTGAGGATTGTCAGTCTAGCAACCAATTTGTACTTCTTAATTCCTTCACCTTTTTCACCCATTCCCCCAGCCTCTGCCCATCTGGCAACAAACAAAATGTTCTATATATTTATGAGAATGTTTCTGTTCTGACTGTTCATTTTGTTTGTAGATTCAATTGTCGATAGATATATATCCATTGCCATTTTGTTTGTTCATATTTTTTATCTTTTTCTTCAAGAAGACCCTTCAACATTTTATATAATAATGGTTTGATGGTGATGAACTCCTTTAACTTTTTCTTGTCTGGGAAACTCTTTATATGACCATCGATTCTAAATGACTGCTTTGCCAGATAGAGTAATCTTGGTTGTAGGTTCTTGCTTTTCATCACTCTGAATATTTCTTGCCACTCCATTCTGGCCTGCAAAGTTTCTTTTGAGAAATCAGCTGACAGTCTTATGGGAACTCCCTTGTAGGTAACTAACTGCTTTTCTCTTGCTACTTTTAAGATTCTCTTTGTCTTGAACCTTTTGCATTTTGATGATGATGTATCTTGATGTGGGCCTCTTGGGGTTCATCTTGTTTGGGACTCTCTGTGCTTCCTGGATTGTATGTATGTTTCCTTCACCAAATTAGGGACTTTTTCTGTTTCCTTCACCAAGTTAGGGAAGTTTTCTGCCGTTATTATTTCAAATAGATTTTCAATTTCTTGTTCTCTCTCTTCTCCTTCTGGCACCCCCAAGATGTGAATGTTGGCACATTTGAAGTTGTCTCAGAGGCTCCTTACACTATCCTCATTTTTTTGGCTTCTTTTTTCTGTTTGCTATTCTGATTGGGTGTTTTTTGCATCCTTATATTCCAAATTGATGGTTTGCTTCTTGGATTTACCTACTCTACTATTGAATCTGTGTAAATTATTCTTTATTTCAGTTAGTGCTTCCTTCATTTCTGACTGTGCATCCATGATTTCTAACTGGTCCTTTTTTATGCTCTTGAGGCCTTCACTAAGTTCACTGAGGTTCTCACTAAGTTCATTGAGCATCCTTATAGGCAGTATTTTGAACTCAGCATCTGTTAGGTTGCTTATCTCCATTTCGCTTAGTTCTTTTCCTGGGGTTTTGTTCTGTTCTTTTATTTGGAACCTGTTTCTCTGTCTCCTCATTTTGGCTGCCTCCCTGTGTCTGTTTCTATGTATTAACGAGAGGTATGGGGCTAGCTGACACCAGATGCTGCTTGTTTGAAATAATTTAGGAAAACCTGAAGCAGGATCCAAGCCAAGCCAATCTTTTGCTTAAGCAACTGGCAACAGCTTGGGTGGGCCTGAAAGTTGGGTGGAGCAGGGCCTCAAGGAATCACCATAGTGGGGCTACCAGTGTGAGCCAGGTTGCTGGAGTACCAGATATGGTGGCCGTCTGCCATCCCAGGGAAGGGCTCACCAGAGGAACAAAGGCCTCTGATAGCACATCTGTCCAGGACAAAGCTGCCTCTCCAGCCCTTGCTCCAATGCCAAACAGCTCAGTTCTTCCCTGTCTGTCTCTGGTGCCCCTCGAGGTGCCTCCCCTCCAAGCTTAGAGGGACAGAGTCCGATAAGTCCGTGCGCGGGCCCTTTAAGAAGAGATGCCTGGGGCTGAAAGCGCCTCAGCCTCCCTGAGCCTCAGTTCCTGCTGTTTTTTTCAGCCAGAAGTTATGGAAACTTCTCTTCTGGCACTGGAACCCTGAGCTGGGCACCTGATGTGGGATAGGGACCTCTCAGTCCTCAGTGTGGACCTTCCCAGCCGAGGTATCTTCCTAATTTTTATCCACCACACATGGGTGTGGGACCAGCCTGTCCGCCTCTGCCCCTCCTACCAGTCTCAATGAAGCTTCTTCTTTAATTCCGTAGTTGTAGGACTTCCATTTAGCTCGATGTCAGGTGGTTCTGAATGATGGCTGTTCTGTAGTTTACTTGTAACTTTGATGTGGTTGTGGGAGGATGTGATACCGTGTTTACCTGCCCACCATCTTGACGAGAAGTCTCTCATTTTACTTTAATTCCCTATTGAAGGCCCTTCTCCAAATACAGTCACATTTTGAGATGCTGGGAGTTAGGACTCCAACCTATGAATTTTTGATGGGGGGACAACTTGCAGCTCATAACATTGTTGAAATCTCTCAATTAACCAATCAATATTTCAATCTCATCCTTTTCTCCCACTTTCTCAATCTCTCTCTTCCTCGATAACTACTCATTTTATTTTTACAACACCCTGAGATAGGTATTATTTTATTCCCATTTTAAATATGAGGAAACTAAGTTCTTTGAGGTTACATAATTATTACAAAGTCACACACAGGAAGTGGAAGAGCTGAGATTCAAACCTGTATAACCTGATTCTGGAACTCATGCTCT